AAAAATTCTTGAGTCATTATGCCATATACATTGATTGCTTGAATTTCTATGCGAGTCAAATAACTGGTCATTCCACGCTTAAGTTAATTATCATTGTTTCATAAAAAATAATATAATTAGATAATTATTCAGGTTCCTGAATAACCCTTCAGTTATAAATTGTGGTTTTATTGTTTAATTTAGTGACTTGAATCAACTGACATTTGATTCTTGTTTCAGATTAAGAGTTAAGTCTTTAATCATTATTGTATCGATTTGATAGGGAGTACTTAATGCTCTAGTATTTTTATTTTACTATTTTAATCTCTTAAAATCAATATTCTCAACTCAACAATCTTTTACACAAATTGTCTTCACAAGTTTGTTATAGTATTAGTGTGATTGCTATTGTTTCCCAATTCCCTAAGGGTTCGACCTCGGTATTCCAAGAAATATATTACTTCGCTCAACCTGCACTTGGGTTTACAATATTAAAATTGAAGCAGTACTCTATTAAGAATATAGATAGCGGTAGAAATAGCTTCACCCCAAAATGTAGTGCTCAAGTGTGCATGACTAAGTATAGATCTAATCATATCAAGAAGTGTTCTATTTCTCCTTTCGTTTACACCGTTTTGTTGAGGTGTGTAAAAAATTGTTAATTGATGTATTATTTCATTTTTTTCATTTTTTAACCCTTCAGTTATAAATTGTTAAAAAACGATTCAAAAATTTCAACCATGTATTCACTATCTTGATCCGTCCTTAATGTTTTAATTTTTCTACCTAGTTGATTTTCTATTTCCGCCTTAAATTCAATAAATTTTTGTAAGACATCCGATCTATTCTTTAGTAAATATATATAATCATATCTTAAATAGTCATCGGTAATAGTAATAAAATATTCTATACCACGATGAGTTTTAACATTTAGAGGACCACAAATATCTGAATATATTAATTCTACCAAATCTTTAGCTCTTTCTAATTTTTCAAATAGTTTTCTAGTCATTTTTCTACTTATACAAGATTCACATAGTTTCAAGTCAAGATCTAAATTTGAAATCAATCTAATGTAAGTCATCTTTTTCATTTTATTATAATTAATATGACCTAGTCTCATATGTCATAAAATAGAATCAACATTAACACTACAAGAGACATCAATATAAGTAAAAGAACTAATTTTATTATTGTTACTAGCAACATTCAAACGGTGAAGACCTTCAACTTTAGTCCCCCATGCAAGAATACGACCATGTATACCAATAGAAACTTTAGAAGATCGAAAATGGACTGCAAATCCCTTATCATGTAATCTTGGCACAAACAAGAGATTGTGCCGCATATTAGGCGCATAAAATACATCAGTCAAGAGGACGTTGTTTTGCCCGAGCAACGAAATTCTCACAGTGTCAATTCCAAGCACATAACAATAAGTATTATTTCCCATGTATAACTTGTGGTCACCGGTTTTCACCTCCTTTATTTCAACAAAATTATCTCTAGTCTTAGCCACATGCCGAGAAGAGGCAGAATTAATCCACCAAGCAAGAGAGTCACAGTCTGCAAGAAGTGACTGAGAACCCACATACACAATGTCTCTTGATCCTTTAAAAGTTTGACCATTATTCTTTTGTGTGCAATTTCTTTTGTAATGATCGGGCTGCTCACAATTATAACAAGTACCTATTTATTTTTTCTTAAAATTATTTTGTCTCTTGAACTTCTTATATTTCTTATTGTTTCTTTTAAAATGTTTGTTTTGTCTTGGCTTAAGAAAAGATGACACATTATTATATGGAGCACCCAAAACAAATTGGGAAGATGGGGCACTGGAAATTAGGTTTGACACATTTCTAGTTTTCTTTTTAGTCTTTTTGTCGGCCTTAATGCCTAGCAACATAGGTAACTTTGTCATTGTTAAATCTTGGTCAGACATATTCAAAAAAATCACAACAGACTCCCATGAATTAGGAAAACTATGTAAAACAATAGAAACTTGCATTTTATCAGGAATTGAGTTGCCAAGAGATGCCAATTCTTTAGCTATTACCACAAGCTTATTGACATGTTTAACAACAGTCTCATCCTCTTTCATAAAAGTGTCATTATATTTTTCAATCAATAGTTGAATATATGTGTTAAAGGCAATACCATATGCTTGTGTTATAGCATCAAACATAGACTTATCAGTTTCATGTTCTTAAAAAATGACCTCTAAATCGGGTTCCATGAAAGTGAGCAAGATTGACCTAGTCAATTTGTCGTTCTCTACAAATCTTTTGTAAGTGTTTCTAACAGCCTCTCCAGCTCTAAGATGTGATTTTTTTGAGTATGATGTGTTAATAACATATTCAACTTTATCTTAAAATAATATGTGACGGATCCTACATTTTTTAGTTGAATAATTTGTACTATTAAGTCTCTCAGTTTTGCTTAATTCTATACTAGCAGCCTTAGACCCCATATTGACAAATTATAAAAAAATAATTTATTAGGTAAAATTAGTTAAAATTGACCTGATTTAATTTTATTACCAAAGTGTGATTCCAATAATGCTTCGAGTAGATTGCAAATATAAAACTTCTTGGGCTGTTGAATCCTTAGCTATTGTTTGAGATAGCACATGGATTATCTCAAAACCAGCCAGCCGGATTCTTATGTCAAAATACTAATATACCCTTGCTTTACCAGTTAGCCCCTGGTATTCACTCTGTGTGCATCTGTTACTGTAAAGCACAAATGCTAGATCAATACTATATAAACTTAAAAAATAGATTTAAAAAATATATTTAATAATCATAATTATTGATTTTACTATAGGTCTCAGAATTTATTAGGACCGCTACATATTCAATAATTATGATAATCAAGTACACTCTTTAAATCCACGTTATAAGTTTAAATAGCAGTTCCCGAAATGCTCTTATCGATCCCTACAAAACAACTTTGGCCAAATCTGTGTACGATTCTTTTGTCAATAACGTTTATGCAAGTTCAGTGGGGTAATATGGAGATGTGGGTCAAGAAGAAGCCAAGGTTTGTAGATAGAGAAAAAGATCGTAAGAGATAATAAGAAATGAAAAAAGATAAGATGGAAAAAGGCGGGAGAAAGGGGAAAACCAGGGGGAGGGAGGCATGGGCCAAGGTGGGCAAGTGACCCTTAAAAAAAATTTATTAATTAGGTATATATATTGTATAATATATTATTTGTGTCCACTCAAAATTCAAGATAAAAATTAGGCTCACATTATTTATTCAAAAGAATTAAAAAATTAAATTCATTTAAAACAAAAAAAATTGAGCCCACCGTGATCTATCCAAATTTATTAAAAAATTAAATTTTTGACATATTACAATCCATCCAAACCTATTAAAAAAATAAAATTTTGGCCCACCATTAAAAAACAAAGTTTTTGACCCACTTAACTACAACCTATCTTATCTATCTTTTTTTTTTTTTTTCTCTCTGTCTCACTCACTCTTAGTTGCCTAGCTAGAAGACACAAAGAAAAAACTGAGAGTAAAGCTCAACACACGAAAAAATCAATTCTTTGCACCGGCATAGGCCACCACCAATAAAAGTAAATATATTCTCTCTCTCTCTCTCTCTCTCTCTCTCTCTATATATATATATATATATATATATATATATCAACACACGAACAAAGCACTCACGCGCACGCTATATTGTGCATACAACACACAAAAAATAAATTAGTTTTTTATTTTTAAAATTTTGAATTAATTAGTCTCGATAATTTTTGTATTTTTTGTGCATTTTAATTTTTAACCCTAATTTATATTTTTGTGCATTTTTTCTTTATTTGAATTTTATGCATTTTTTCCTAATTTTTTTTTTGTATATTTTTTTTTAATTATTTTTTTGATTTGTTATAGCCTGAATTAATAATTGGAAATATCTTAAAAACCTTGAATTACAATTATTGAGTCGACAGTAAAAAATGTTATTGATTTAGACTAAAAACTCATCACACCATCAAGAAGCTCGATACAATGAGGAGACAACGCTGAATGAATTTGCAACTTCAAGTAATTGGCCTTTTGTAAAACCTGTTGGAAGGAAATCTCAAGCAAAACAAAAATATCTTTAAAAAAAAAAAAGCAAAACAAAAATATGATTGCTTCGTGAAACGTGTCAAATATGTTGTGTGGCAGAATGTAGTAGTTTGATATATTGGGTGGAGGGATTAATTTGTTTGTCAGAATATTCAATGGCCGTTGCAGTCAAACAAATTGACAGCCACAGAAAAAATAAAGATGATGAATTTTCTTGGTCTCTGACGACGAATAATTCATTGATCGCCTGGTGTTCGGATACCAATGTAAAAATTTGTTGGATAAAATTTGATGAATAACAAGTTAGTCTTTTGAGAATTAAAAAATTCTCTTCGATACAAAAGTAATAGTATTGAAATTTTTTCACAAATGGAGTGTTTTCTTAGTTTATTTTCTCTGTATGCAAAAATACCTTATTTATAAAAGAAAATTCAGCTAGTCGTTACCATTTATCAAAATATATTCAACTCTCTAATATTTTCTCAATTCCACTAATATTTCCTCGATCCTTTGTAGTCAAAGTAAGTTAATTATTCTCCAAGTAAGATTGACTAGTCTTTTCCTATTTGATGAGTCATTTCATCTAAGTCACTCATACTGACTAAAAAAAATTCACTCCAAATATCAAATTATATCAATGTAATACATATATTATAAAATAATATTTAATACATAATAATTTTACAAAAAATAAATCTATGACATATGTCATGAATAATACAATATTTAATCAACAGATTGAGATTTTATATATATATTTTGGACTTGACCATCAACCGTAACTTAATTAATATCGAAAGATTTTGACCACATATTCCGATGAGAAATTTTAGCCACGTATCCTAGAATGCCTGGACACACACGACTATCACCCCTATAAAATGGTAAGCTTATCCCGACAAAATTGCTAAGCCAAACAACAAAATCATATCCAAAACATGGCAAGCTACTCACAAGCTTCATTCTTTGCCCTCTCCCTCTTCATTCTCTCTCTATTTGGGTCCTCAAATGCTTGTGGAATAGCCATCTACTGGGGCCAAAACGGCAACGAAGGGACCTTGGCCGCCGCCTGCGCCACCGGGTACTACCAGTTCATAAACATAGCATTCCTAACCACATTTGGCAGTGGCCAAACCCCAGTGCTAAACTTAGCTGGTCATTGTGACCCCCCCTCAGGCACTTGCACCACTCTAAGTAATGATATAAGGGCTTGCCAAAACCAAGGTATCAAAGTGTTTCTCTCTCTCGGAGGCGGCGTGAGTAGCGCTTCCCTTTCTTCACCTGATGATGCAAAGCAAGTTGCCAATTACCTTTGGAACAATTTCCTCGGCGGCCAATCGAGTTCTCGTCCCTTGGGGGATGCCATTTTAGATGGTATCGACTTTGATATCGAGTCGGGTTCGGGCCTATATTGGGATGACTTTGCCAGGGCCCTCTCAGAGTTCAGCTCACAGAGAAGGGTGTACTTATCTGCAGCACCACAGTGTCCTTTCCCTGATGCTCAGTTAAACACTGCCATCCAAACCGGCCTCTTCGATTATGTTTGGATACAATTCTACAACAATCCGCCGTGTGCATACAGCGACAATAGTGCTGATAATCTTTTGGCCAGTTGGAATCAGTGGACTTCAGTTCCATCTAATCAGATTTTCTTGGGTTTACCGGCAGCTCCTGCCGCCGCTGGCAGTGGCTATATTCCACCTGATGTGCTAATTTCTCAGGTTCTTCCATATATCAAGACTGCTTCCAAGTATGGAGGGGTCATGCTCTGGAGCAGATACTATGACGACGGGTATAGCTCAGCTATCATAGACAGTGTCTGCTCTGCCATGATGGTTTATGCTTGTCTTACCAAATAGCCCAATACCAAGAAGAGGAATATAACCTACGCCTGTGATTCATGGGTTATGTGTATTGACCCAAGCCTTAATAAATAGACCAGTTCAGCATTAGATTAGCTTACACAATTAAGTAAATATATTCAGTAAAAATTGTCTAGTACTCGCTATTTTTTGTTTTTTTTTCATTTGATTAAACCGTTCAACTTGATTGACAACCTTTTGCAGAAATTCTCTTCTTCACTTCCCAAACACTTGACCAGATCTTGTACATATTTTCTTGAAAAGGAAAAACTTCGAGATTCAAATATATAGGTACTAAGTCTCTGCCCCTTAAATTAATTTTTTATAACATTGTTCCCTTCAATTTCACACAATGGTACGTAATTTTTTTTTTTTTCAATAATTAGGGGTGTCCGAACCAGTTTATACGTATCTCGACTAATCTCATCATCGGTTAGGTAAAAAATAAAATCATTCACCTCGAAACTAAAATATTTATGAGAGATAAATTTTTTATGGCCTAGACTCAGAGAGTTGTCAATATTCTAACTCAGGACATCTAAATTTACAACTCATCTCTATTATCATTTGAGCTACCTTTGAGGTTGATTGATCATTTATCATGTGTGGGTGAGAGGCCAATAGTAAATATTAGGTCTCATGTGTATTAATAGTAGATAATATATCATTCAATGAAATTAAGTGAAACTATAATAAAGAGTAGAGAGGATCTGAATCACGTGTTTGGGTCAACCCCACGCTAATGTTATTGGGACATAATTGAGTGATATAATTTGAGAATATAATCAATTATTACAAATGAAATGATAATAAAATGTATTTAATGATGGGTCTCATTATAATATTAAATAAATTTATTATCATTCTATTAGTAACAATTCATTATATCTCTAAATTATATCATAATATTATTAATTTATCATTTAATGAAATTAAATGAAACTGTAATAGAGAGTAGAGAGAATCAGAATCACGTGTTTGGGTCAACCCCCACCATTATAAAAGGGTGCCGGCACTTGAAACATGGCGCAATAGCTGCACTAGTTTCCTCAATTTCAATTGACTTTTTTTATTCTAATAAATATGACTACTTTAAAATATTATCAAGAACGAAAGTGGATGATAGGTGCTCCTCATTCCTTAATATATTTTTAGAAAAAAAAAATATCAAGCAATATTACAATTAATATTATGGCCTGGCAAAAAAAAAAATTAATTGCAATTATAGAATTTCCTTCTATAACATTACCTAATTTGCTGAATATGTCCAAGAGTCCGTCTAAATGTTTGAGTAATTTGATTCAGTCAAGTGTATCAACAAAACCCATATATATATATATTTTATTTTTTGCATAACCTACATTTTATTAGTTGACAATGCAAGATTAAAGATTTCTTGCAATATAAAAACACCTCGTGTTATAATCTGTCAAAGTTAAGGGTGCAATTCGAGCAGGTTGGGCGGGTTGGACAATCAACTCTAGATATATAATCTTCAACTCTAATCCTCACCATAACCCTACCTCGGGTTGGGGAACTCAACCCGAGTACTACCCGAGTTCAATTCGGGAGGGCTCGGGTTAAATTCGGGTCGATGATTTCAGACTGATTTCGGGTTATTTTACGGGTTCAATTCTTGTAGAGCCCAAAATAGACTTGTTGTTCTAAACCTAATACATATATTACATAATATTCACCTAAATTAACAACCAATAACTTCAACCAAGTTTTTAATGAGAGAGACAAAGAGAACGAGAGGGACAGAGAACAATAGAACAAAAATAAAAAATTAGTACTACTGCTTTATTTATACATATATATATAATTTTTTTTAATTTGTCGGATTCGGGTTGAACTTGGATTCACGAGACCTTAACCCGAGCTCAATCCAAATTGAATTCGGGTTAAGATTTTTTGATCCAAGCCCTAATTTTTTTGGATTAGGATCGGGTTGAAATCATGTTGTCCAACCCAAGTTGCACCCCTAGTCAAAGTAACTATGATGATAGGATTTCAATGAAAAATATGTTAAGGTTCGAATTTAAACTTTTAAGAGACATCGTGAATTAACTAAATAATTCAATCTTTAATCATCAAGTAATCAAGTAAGTCTATCATATATTTATATACAACATTAGACCATGATTGAATCCGATATTGCTATTGTAAAAATTGGATACATTTCAACACGATATTAAGGATTTGAATTTGAATTTAGATTGATGGTGACAATATAAATTCATAAAACTTGAATTTGGATTAGATTCGAATCACATTTTGATGAAGGGGTACTCCCCACCCCACACCTCTTCCTTAGGGGTGTCCATGGGCTAGATCGAGTTAAATCGAAGAAATTTTTTTTGGGCTAAATTTGGATAGGGTAAAGCCAAACCCATATTTCAACGAGTTATTGGGTGGGACGGACCGAACTTTGAATAGGGTAGGTTATCTGCAATCTAACCCGCCACTCATCAAGTGAGCGGGCCTTATATATATATATATTTTATTTTTTTTTATTTAAAAAGTTTTCAACTTAGTATATTTGTAAATTATATTTTTAAAATTAAAATAAAGTCAAAAGGAATAAAAAGTAACTAGATTGCTCAAGATAGTATTTAAGTAAATAAATTTTTTTTAGAGGAATATATCATCTAACTTTTAATGATCAGTTTTTTTTCAAACCAAATTGGTGGACGGCGTTCTTGGGGCGAGTTTAACAGATTTTTACGGCTTGGTTAATGGGCCAAATTTCGGGCTGAGGAATGAGTCTAGGGACTAGCTCAAGCGTCTTTTGAAAAATATTAGGCTTGTGTTCGAGCAAGTCAACTACTAAACCTATTGGATTTTAAGTCTTTTTTTTCGGGCCAACTAACAGGTCCATGAGCCAACCCGACGTATGGACACCCTTACTCATCCTTGTCCAACATGCTTTAGCCTTCTTTTTTTTTTTTTTTTGTTCAACGATTAGAAATGTCTAGATCCGTTTATGCATACTTTAACTAATTATTTATTCGATCCGATCAAAGACGTATATCCACGCCGAAACTAAAGTATTCATAAAAAACAATTCCCCTACGGTCTAACCCCAAGAGCAGGGGGCAGTCAATTTTGAAGAAATACTACAATTACTGTATCAAAAAAACAAATTATGTTTGGTTTATTACATTGCCCCCTCTTAAGTGTTTGAAAATTTGCATAATGACCTTAGTCCATTTTCTTTTCGGTAAGCTTGTGGTGCATTAACCTCAAATTTACTGAAATAAATATTTTATTTTTAGGCTAAATAATAAACCAAATGCAAAATACCCTATCCCATATCTCATATATTAACCGAAGATAACACATTTATTATTTAATATCCTTCCTTTTATTCTTTAAAAACAATTGAATAGTTGTCCATCACTTTTTTTTTTTTTAAGCTTGTTGGCTCGTAAGTTAGTATCACACGAATTAATGCAACTACTAAAATGTACTAACTCAAAAGATCAATTTAAGTCATTCCAAAAGATTAATTTCTCAACCACATTAAAAGAAAACTAGTGAGAATTTTATATCATGAAATTGAACAATAATAGGCAATTCTTGAAATTTACTTAAGTAGAGAGTTCAAATAATTGAATTCAATCCAAATATATAAATCGAATTCAACCCGAATATTAAATCTGGCTCAACCTTGACATATTTAAAAACTAGTTAATACACATGTGCGTTAAACGTAAATTATTTTGAGTATCAAATATAAAAAAAAAGCTCACCAAAATGTTCTTCAATATCCCACATAATGAAAAACCAAAATAAAAAACTTCGAACCATGAAAATAATTATTTCAATGGAATTGTTTCTATGCTATTTATTCTTCGATCCAATTAAGATTCAATAAGACATTATGCCTGCAAAAAAAAAAAAACAAACAAACAAACAAACAAACTTATAATCCTTACTTTACCATTCTCTTGCGCCATTTTTGATTTTTTGGAATTTGCTTGGTGGTAAAAAACTTCCACCAACCCTTAAATGCATCTTAGTCACTCCAGTTTCGCATCATACATTTTGTCATTATCTAAATGAACTTACCTTTCTTACGGTGTGATTTTCCATTGAGTCATGGGGTTGTTGGTGATAATAACTATATTTATGCATTTAACATATTGTATTTCCTATAAGTTTCGATTTTACTCTTTTTTTCATTTTAGAGCAAGGAACATTTGATGTTTCTATTCATTATTGTCACATAATAGTTATGTTTCTAGGAGAGTTAACTATAGTGTAATAAGGTATTGTGAAAATGAACAATTTTTCTTAACTCAATTTTTTTTATCTCAATTTACAAAGTGTCCAAATGACTTGTTTCTAACAAAAAAGAAAAAAAAATTCCTTTCCTTTATCTGGAAAACATAAACTTCAAAGTTTCAGTGCTTTTTATATCCCTAAACTTTCTCAATAACCAAAAAAATCTCAAACTATCACATACAAACACAAATACAAAAATATGGGCATGAATTTTATAAAGTGGAAGATGAATTAAAAAATCATTTGTATAAACCTGGACCATTTTGATGTGTGATATTAAAATGATTAATATGCTCAAAACATCAAGTTCCAACATTATTTATTTTCTTCAAATCCCAAAATTGGATACTGATGTGCAGGAATGAAAAAAATAAACCAATAGGACTTGCATTGGTAGCCAAAACCCGCCCCCCCCCCGGGGCGAGGACCGTCGAAGAAGTGCCTCAACACATTGCAGCCACTACTTTGACTCTTTATGCAATTATGAACTCCACGGAACTTTCTTGATTCCAACGTAACGTATCCTTTTGGAGTTCACGTAACAAACTACGCAAGCCCCCTAACAAAGGCAACATAAATCCGATTCGAAAAGAGATTTCATCTTCTGGAAGAGGACTTCCTAGAATCGCCGAGTCAATATCAGTGTAGTAACAGTCAGGTCTGGAAATGTGTTGGTACATATGAATACGAAAACAAGCTGTAAAAGC